GAGCTACAGCTCACGACAGGGTCTGCCTTTGGAATAAAATCTGCCAGTTGAAAAAGGGGCTAGTGGGGTCCTGATCAATGAAGTCTTTAAGTCACTTTCCAATGTTGGAAGCAAGTCATTCTCTTTGCCAAGAGAGACTCTTTCCGAACCTCCCCCGTGGACCTCCTTTTCAGAAATCAGGTCTGGATCCGGTTCAGGCGAGCCTGCAATGCGTCCGTCCTGCGGCAATAAAAAAAGCGAGTTCCTGGGCACGTGCAACGGGCCTTTGCTGTGCTGCTGGGCGACCTGCCTCCCCTCCCCAGGCTTGCTCGGACAGCAAGGGCTGAGTCCCAGGTTGCAGATCGGAAGAGATGCTCCAGCTGAGGATTTCTGGAGGGGAGACCTCTCTCAGCTCCTGGGGGACCCTGCCCAGCCTTGACCCTCAGCCTGAGAGGCTGGCGGGGTGTGGACCCTGAAAAGAGGGGAAGGGTCTGGGGCCAGGACAGCCTCCCCTGCCCCCACCAGGGCTGTCCCCTCTCCTCCCGGCACCCTGGGAGACCCAGAGGCAGCAGATCCTGGGAGTGGGTGTCGCTGCGCATCGCCTGCTGCAAACATCTGCAGCCCATTTCCTCCCTGGGCACAATCCAATTGACTTTCCACTGGACAGCTCATCGCCTGCTTTTCCCCTGGTGAAGCGCATGTGTGCAAGAGACTGTGGACGCTTGCACGCTTCGGGGAAAGAATGACCCCCTTCCTTCCTCTTGCCCCCTCTTTCTTGAGAAAACAGGCCAGCGCAGTGCCAGCTCCGGCCTTTGGCCTCCCAGGGGCTGCTTTGGGTTTCAGACCAAGCTGTGGCACTGCCGTGTCCTACCATGGGGGAGCCCCACCTGTGAGATTGGGGGCAGCCCCCAGATTCCTTCCAGAAACGGCTCTCTCTTTTAAGGCTATTCCCTTTCCTTTTAAGCTTGGGAAACTCAAACTCTGTGTGTGTGTGTGGGGTGTGTGTGTGTGTATGTGACAGCAACATCAGGAAGAAGGAGGATGAGAAGCGGGAGAGGCACCAGGGCCTGAAGGAG